GTATAAAGGCAGAAGGAGCAACCTCATAGAGGTTGTTCTTTGTTCTTTTCTGCTCTGTGAAACTGGTCTCTGTGTGTGTTTTTGAAGCTGAAGAAGAAGAAGAAGGAGGAGGAAGACGAAGAAGTTAGCAAGCTGAGGCTTTTACAGCCATGGGGAACTGCAACGTTTGCTTGAGAGCGGACGTCGTCGACGACAAAAGTTCCAACAACCGCGACAAAAACAAGAAGAAGACCGGAGAGCGACGGTCCAACCCGTTCTCCGACGACCCGATCCGGTCCCCGGCTCCGATCCGAGTTCTAAAGGATGTGATCCCGCTCGGTCACCGGACCCGGATCGGCGACAAGTACATACTGGGTCGCGAGCTGGGTCGGGGCGAGTTCGGCATCACTTATCTGTGTACGGACCGCGAGACGAAGCAGGCCCTGGCCTGCAAGTCCATATCCAAACGCAAGCTCAGAACCGCGGTACAGAAGCTGAAATGAGAAAACGACATGTCGTTTCTTTTGCTTGTTTTTGTAATTTTGGGTTTGTTTTGTTCAGGTGGATATAGAGGATGTGAGGCGGGAGGTGGCGATAATGTCGACGTTGCCGGAGCACCCGAACATAGTGAAGCTGAAGGCGACTTACGAGGACAACGAGAACGTCCACCTGGTTATGGAGCTCTGCGAAGGCGGCGAGCTGTTTGATAGGATTGTGGCCAGAGGACATTACAGTGAGCGAGCTGCGGCCAACGTGGCCAGGACTGTAGCGGAGGTGGTGAGGATGTGCCATGCCAATGGGGTTATGCACAGAGACTTGAAGCCTGAGAACTTTTTGTTCTCTAACAAGAAAGAGCACTCGCCCCTTAAGGCCATCGATTTTGGGCTCTCTGTGTTTTTCAAGCCTGGTATGCTTCTGGGTTTTTGTTGAATTTGGTGATTTCTATCTGGGTTTTTGGGTTTTCTGGTTTTCTTTTTGTCCTTGAGCTTGTATTTTGTTTTTGAAATTGTTGTTTTGATGGATTTTAATTTTGGGTGTGGGTTTAGGGGAGAGGTTTATGGAGATTGTGGGGAGTCCGTACTACATGGCCCCAGAGGTTTTGAAGAGGAATTATGGACCCGAGGTCGATATATGGAGCGCCGGTGTAATTCTTTACATTTTGTTGTGTGGGGTTCCTCCATTCTGGGCAGGTATTGTAGTAAAACTAGCTCTCCAATCTTTTTGAAACCCTGTTCATTTTCCATTAACTGGGTGGGTTTGATTTTAGTTTGGGATTGTAATTGGTTTTCTATGTGTGAAATTTTTGCAACAGAATCTGAACAGGGTGTGGCTCTTGCAATCTTGAGGGGGGTGATTGATTTCAAAAGGGAACCCTGGCCTCAGATTTCGGAGAGTGCTAAAAGCCTTGTTCGGCAGATGCTGGAGCCGGATCCTAGAAAACGCTTGACTGCTCAACAGGTGCTTGGTAAGCATTCAGCAGTGTTTCTCACTGAATCTTAACTCGATGCCATTTTAAGTGAGTTGCATAGTAGTTAGTAGCATTTTGATAGCAATAGCACAGCGTTGATTGGTGATGGATTATGCACTCATCTTCTTTGTTTTAGAAACCTGGAATCGTTTGAGTCTATATTCCATGGCAATATTTGAATCTGAGTGAAGTATTTTGATGTTACATGAACATTGCATTACATTCGTTTTCACAATTCCTTGGTAAACATCAAACAACTCAGACCTACTATGCAATACATGAAGTCAAGTAAAACAAGTGAAATCATCAATGTAGCAGCATAGTAACCATACATGGAGGGTCCAGATATCATAATGGGGAGCACTCTTTTTTGCATTATATATAACTCTGAATAAGGGTGAAATTCGGGATAAGACAGAGGACCTGATGTTTTTATAGTCTAATTTCAGTTGAGTTTTACTGCTTTGTACGATATTTTGATCAAAAAAATTCTTATTCATCAAAAAACAAAAAAGAGAAGAAATGGTAAATACTGTAAGTTTGCTCGATAATGAAAACCTGTACTTATAGGTTCTTGTGGGCTTGGCATTACCAAGGATTTACCAAGGATATGAAAACTAGTTGGATTTAGATAGGCAAATTGGCTGGACCGGGGGTGAATTTTAAACACCTCTTTGATCTCCTTATGAAAAAAACTTATTTTTAGTCTGATGGGTCCAATAGTAGAAATTCAAGTAAGCAGCACACCTAAAATATGTCCTTCGAAGCAAAATCAATTTAACCTGATTTACTCTGCTTCTTTGCCATTGTAGTTCCTATTTGATTTAGAGTTGTAGCCAAGGTTTGAGAATGTTTTCAGTCCTTGACCAAACTAGAGGAACCTAATTTTTAAAGTTACCACTGTGTCATGTCTATGCTGCCACAGGATTGAATAACTCTGCAACATAACTTGTATTCTGTGAAATAGGCTAACTAAATTTTGTTTTGCCGTTTGTGATTACAGAACATCCATGGTTACACAATGCAAAGAAAGCTCCAAACGTTCCATTAGGAGATATAGTGAGGCCAAGGCTCAAGCAGTTCTCAGTAATGAATAGATTCAAAAAGAAGGCTCTAAGGGTGAGCATCTATAATTGGTACTTTATGAGTGTCAGCTGAAGTATTGGTTACTATTGCCATGATCTGTGATTCACAAAATAAATGTAACGTTTGGGTTTTTTTTTTTTCCAATCAAATGCTGTAGGTAATTGCAGAACACTTATCTGTTAAAGAAGTGGAAGTAATCAGAGACATGTTTACATTGATGGACACTGACAAAGATGGCAAAGTAACATATGAGGAATTGAAGGCTGGGCTTCAGAAAGTTGGTTCACAATTGGCCGAACCAGAGGTTAAGATGCTGATGGAAGTGGTAAGTTGTGTGGTTTTAAGGAAGAGTTTCTTTTATTTTAATTTCATTTATATGCTATAACTTTTTCATGGATGTGGCTTCATTATGGTTCCCATTAGGGTTTTGAGAAAAGTTATTCATCTTCATGCTCCAAATATCTTACAAATTAGCTCCTTGAACTAAAACCACAATTACTTTACAGCCAATTGATGTTAATATATTAATAATCTATAATAGTCACTTGGAAATTTGGAAGTATTGTTGTATATCTTATATATAGGATCCATTTAACAATAAACTGATGCCTTCTGCTTTATTTTGCGTAGGCTGATGTTGATGGAAATGGAGTCTTGGACTATGGAGAGTTTGCAGCAGTGACCATTCACTTACAGAGAATGGAGAATGATGAGCATCTCCGCAGAGCATTTGTGTTCTTTGACAAAGATGGAAGTGGATATATTGAGTTAGGTGAGCTAAGGGAAGGTTTATTAGATGAATCAGGTGAAATTGATAATGAAGTGCTGAATGACATCATGCGTGAGGTCGACACTGATAAGGTTTGACTTGCAAGCCTTTTAATCTCTTTTATTTGTTAATACTGGAGTTGCTTGCTCCATTTGTTATTAATTCTTATTTATTGTTATTCTTTGCAAAACAATAGGATGGACGTATCAGTTATGAGGAGTTTGTTGCGATGATGAAAACTGGAACGGATTGGAGAAAGGCGTCTCGGCAGTATTCGAGGGAGAGATTCAAGAGTTTGAGCCTCAACCTGATGAAAGACGGTTCATTGCAGCTTCACGACGGGCTAACTGGTCAAGCAATTGCTGTATAACTTGTATTCTTGTTTAGATTGTGCATGCTGGGGGTTCTCCTCCTCTTTTATTGTCCATACACCCGAAAAATTGCGGCAGATGGGTTTTTTGTAAACCGAGGTTTGAGGGCAGATATTGAATCAACCTTCCTGGACACCTTTGGCTTGGCTTAGTAGGTTGTTAGATTGTGGCTGAATGAAGCTTTGCATCCAAGAAAGGCATGTTAGGTTGCAAGGGGAGCTGTTTGTGGGGATCGTCGAGGCTCGGTGTATACATAGTATGTATATTTTTCGATCATGTTGTACGTGTCGCATACACTTGTATATTTGTCATCTCTACATCATTTTGTGTTTAATGGTTTTTTGCTTACTAAATGGATGGCAAGCGATTTGTTTCATTGGCCTTGTAAACTTTGAGCTGAGATGTTCTCAGTTTGTATTTATCAAAAAGTGATCCTGATTTCTTGTGTCATTGTAAGGATATTTTTCCAACACCATATTTTGCTTCCTAAATAGCTGCCACACAAATTAGAGAAGGATTGGAATGTAATGCAAATTACAATTTTTTAGTACAAATGAATGACGGCTAAATCCATCCAAACAACATTGTGAAAGAATTTGTGCATATAATAATATAATGAAAACTTAAAATATATATCTTTTTGTGTAATCAGTGTACTTAATTACTCAAATAACAAAGATCTTTACCAGAAAAGCACTTAAATAATAATCACAAAATCTCTTTGGGCCCCCATATTCTGAAGGCCCCACTCCACACTCATTAAAAATAAATAAATAAATAAAATTCAACTAAAAAATACCTAAACATTCAACTGCCATCTCAAACCATTTTATTATTATTTAATACCTAAACTTTCTCTTTCTCTCTCATCTTCTAATTCCTCTCTTTCCTAGTTAGTATGGTGCACGTTAACAACATGGAATGTGGAGTAGAGCGATAAGAATTCAATTAGCTAGAAGAACAAAAATGGGTTTGAGGTTAGAGATACCAAAACAAACTCTAATTCCTTGCGTAGGTGAGTCAATAATCTACAATTAATTATCATATTTTTTATTTATAAAAAAAAGAGCGATAATATTTTATTGATCGAATCAAAATCAACCACATTTACATGATTTCAAATATTTAAAATAACAAGGATATATATAATGAAGCACAAATAAAGGCACATGCGGTTACAAATGGCAACACTAAATTATGTTTGATATTCAAAATTATGTTCAAAATTGTTCAAATCAAAATATCATTAAGCTTAATACTATTAATTCCTATTATTACTAGGAATTGTCATTAAAGATAAATATCATTATTAATGGACGCGGGACCCACGTGATTACATGAATCATGATATCGTCCCCGGCCGGTCTGGGCTCTCCCAATTCATAACCGAAACCCCCAGCGAAAACGAAAAACGAAAGACGAAAAAGCGCAGAACAATCTCGAAGAAGAAGGAGGAGGAGGAGGAGGCGATAATGGGGGTGGACTATTACAACATACTGAAAGTGAATCGGAACGCGACGGACGATGACCTGAAGAAGGCGTACAAGCGGCTGGCGATGATTTGGCACCCGGACAAGAACCCGGCGGGGAAGCGACCCGAGGCCGAGGCCAAGTTCAAGCAAATCTCCGAGGCCTACGACGTCCTCAGCGACCCGGCCAAGCGCCAGATCTACGACCTCTACGGCGAGGAGGCTTTGAAATCGGGCCAATTCCCCCCGCCCTCTTCTTCCTCCTCGTCTCGCTCCGGCGCTGGGCCCCACTACTACACCAGCCACGTGCACCACCACCAGCGCCACCCAAACGCCTCCACCTTCAGGTTCAATCCCAGGGACGCTGAGGATATTTATGCCGAGATTTTTGGATCGGACGGCGGCGGAGGTGGTGTTGGTGGTGGTGGCGGGAGGGGGTATAGGGATGGATTCTTTAGGACGTCCAATGGTGGTGGGCCAGAGTTTGCGGGACCCAGTGGTAGTGGGCCTGGGCCTGGGCTTGGGAGGAAGGCCAATGCGGTTGAGAATTTGTTGCCTTGCAGCTTGGAGGAGCTCTATAAGGGGGTCAAGAAGAAGATGAAGATTTCCAGAAACATCTACGATGCTGTTGGTGCTGGGTAATTCACTTATCTTCAATTTCCAATTTTTATGTTCTGTTTTTTGTTTTCACCCAACACCAAAAAATTTCGTTGTTGTTAACTTGTTTGTTATAATGCCGATATATGGTTGGTGAATCTTTCTTTCTGTTGAGTTGATTTTGGTGAAGCTAAAGTTGGTGACTTTTTTAAACTAATCTACAGTTTAACCAAAATAGTGATGTGCTTTGCCCCCAAGTTTATAAATAAAAAATAATAATTGTGTTGTGCCCATCAAGCTCAGCTAAATATCTATGTATATGATGAAAAATGCTTGTGTTAGCAAAGAGGAAACAAGTATGTAGTGTGCTTGCTTATTTATTTGGATTTAGACGCTGTAGATATTTGTCACTTAAAGCACCCAATTAAAGCAAATAAAGCATGAAGAAGTTTGTGACTTGTTGCTCAAGTATATAGAGTTGGTCTTGTTGAGAGTGAAGGTCATCTGGTCTATGCTTATGTGTATGAGATTAGTACAGCAAGCACCTTCCAGATATGGTTGTGATTGGGAGAAAAGTATGCACGCTCACTTAGCTCATGCCTAGTGGCAGCACTAAGATAAGCTCAAGTCTTTGGTGTTTGTTGTTAGGGCTGGCTCTGTCAACGTTGTAGGTTTCTCATCTTTCTTGGGTTTGAGGGGCTGGTTCGTGATGGGATTACATTGTTTGTGTGTCATTTCTTAGTATAGTTGGTCCTGCAGTTCTATATTTGAGTTAGGTCTGCTTGATTTTACAAGGGTTAGAAATGTTTGTTACACTTGGTAACAGAAAAATTAGATAATAATAATTAAAGGACAAGTTAAAGTTGTTATCCCAATCTTGCAGAACATGGTCTATTCTCTGTGGTACGCTAATAACCATGGGTAGCCTCTCTCCTCCTTGATCTCTGACTTCCCATGAGTCGAACCCTAGACTTTCCGAAGGGGAGAGAGTTATAGTTAACAACTACCAAGGCCAGTGTATTACTATTTCCATTCTATATTGCCTAGTTTGTGGGTTGTGGTATGAACTGAGCCTTGCGTTTGAATGTTTACATCTATTGCCACATTTTTTATTCGATCTTATTTTTCCTACCTTTCTTTGTTATTATTATTTGATATGCAAGATCAGGAACTACCTGGGTTTCCTCATTTAATTAGATGCTTGAAGCATGGTTTTGTTGCTTATACTTTCTTTGGCTTTAAGGCCAAAAAGACAGGATCCAACCTGAAGATGTTGCCCTTTCCAGTTCATTGGATGTTGCCCTTTGGGGCAAGATTAAGTGTTATTCATGTTTTTATAAGAATGATCTTGCACTAAATAGAGTTGAGACAATTTGGCGTCTGTAATGTGATAAGAGAAGTAAAGTTTGTAATGCCGAACCTTTCCATTTCGAAGTTTCTAGGTGTTGGTCATGTGTTGTTGCCTTGCGGCAAGAAGCATGTCTGATAATGATTAAGCAGCATACATGCCACTTTTTGCTTAGGGATCTCACTTTCCACATTTAAAAGAAGAATCAACACATTTCATTTTGTGTTTCCTGGTTTCTTGGGTTTTCATTCACCCCTTTTAGCCAATACATGTTAAAGTAGATAAATTTAATACCTGCCACTTGTTAGAAAATGGATGAATCTAGTCGAGGTGTTTGTATGTGTTATCTTTTCCCTGTTAAAGGTCTGAAAGGAGTAGTTCTCATTAAGTATTTGGCTTTTGTTAACTTTGACCTGATACATGAGTAATTCTCTTGCAGTAAGGTTCGGACTGTGGAGGAGATATTGACCATCGAGATCAGACCTGGTTGGAAGAAGGGCACAAAGATCACCTTCCCGGAGAAGGGTAACCAGGAGCCTAATGTCATTCCGGCAGATCTCATTTTTGTGGTAGACGAGAAACCACATGCACTTTATAAGAGGGATGGTAATGATCTGGTGGTCAATCAGGAGATAACACTGTTGGAGGCACTTACTGGCAAGACTCTTGACCTAACCACCCTAGACGGAAGGAATCTCACGATCCCGTTAACTGATATCATCAAACCTGGAGCCGAGATGGTAGTACCAAATGAGGGGATGCCAATCTCAAAAGAACCTGGGAAAAAGGGAAACTTGAGAATCAAGTTTGATGTCAAGTATCCTTCACGACTCACCACAGAACAGAAGTCTGATCTGAAAAGAGTTCTGGGAGGAGTTTCATTATGACTGCTAACTATGGATCTCAGGGTTGACCGTAATGTAAATACAATACGTGTATGCTATTATTTGGAGAGTGTGAATACTAGAAGCTTTCTGGGGTGAAAGGAAGAGTTTTGGGCGCAGTTTTAGCAGGCTCCTGCAATCTGCTTCTTGTGGCACGATGGAATTAATTAAGGCATTTTTTGGGTCAGTTCATTTTTTTAATTTATTATTTTCATTTGCATTCTATATACCTAGAAATTGTCCTTTGGATTTTGATTAGATAGTAACGAGAGTTGCTCACTTCTAGAAATTGAATTATTGAATTTGATTGTGTTTGGTGATTAGAGATTCAACTTGCGGGTCCTTTCCTTCCTTTTTAAACATTCTCGGCCATTAATTTGATTTGTACTCGATTTTGTTGCGTAAGAATTAAATATGTATTTCATGACAAAATAAATATTTTCTTTTTTTTTCTTTGCTGGTGTAAGAAGAGCAAGCATTATGCACGACTTATTATTCTAATATAATGATGCGTAGTCGCAGCAGGATCATTTTTCCTTGGCTTGCACTCACTCTAGGTAGGAAGTTATGATTCTCCGTAGTCCCTCGCCTGCGGTGTGTTTACCTTCCCTTCTTCAACAACTCGGGCCCTCTTCTTAATCACAGTAGAGTGCCAAGGGGAAGGCTCAGGCCCAAAATGATAGAGTAACAGCAAAAAGCATTTATATTAAAGCCTATAAGCATGATAGGCCATTACCCAAACAAAATAAATAAATAAAAAGTGTCCCAGGCTTAATATTTCCTTCTCACTTCCGCCTATTTTCCAATTTTCTAAATGAGTAAATAATGTTATTAGAGTGTTGGTGTTAGTACAAGACGCACTCTGCTCACTACCGCTTCTAGCAAAAGTGCTTTTATTATAAAGATGTTGATATTTTCATAAGAAATCCAAATGCTTCTTAAAGAAGCACGTCCAGAAAGTGCTTTTATGAGCCAGAAGCGCTTCTAAAATTTTATGTCAAATATTGTCAGAAGCGTTTTTGGTTGTTAAAAAGAGTTTTTTGTTTTCAAGAAGTGCTTTTAGCCCTTCCAAAAGCGACAAGATAAGTGAGCTCTCCTCTTTATACCCAAAGTTTGAGTTCCCCTCTCGAACAATGGACCGGCCAAAGCTCAACAAGTTAAACACTGAGCATTAACAAACCTGGGCTTATAGACCCACCACACGAAGGCTTTTCAAACCTACTCCAACCAAACTCTGGGCTTGACCCAACTAAAAATAAAAATAACTTACAATCTTTCTACAAATTGATGTGAAGCATTGTATTCGTTTCCAAATGATTTATTCAACAAGAAGCAGAACAAGGGCCACAGACATGATATTTAAGAGTTAAAAAAAAAAAATCAATTTCAGAAGAAAAAAAAGACATTTATTTATACAGAATCGTGCGAGTTTAAAAGAAGCAAAAGAAATCGTGCAAGTTTAGAACCACCAAAAGAAAGTGGAGAAAGATGAGTGGGAGTCTTTGGCCAACCAAAAAAAAGTGTTGTATGTGCGTGAAGGAGAGGGAAATAAAAGAACTATATGCGTCCCATTCCGTCTCCTGAATTTAAGAAAAGAAGAAGATTAAAGAAAGAAGGGGTCCAACTTTCGAATATATATAAAGAAAAGTGAAGGAGAAAGATAATTATATAAAATCTATGTTTCTTTTCTTAAATTAATTCTTTTCCTACAAGAAAAAATATATTTTTATATGGGACATGTGGGTGCGGCAACACTCTCAAGACTCATATCTCCATTTTTGTTTCTTCAAGGCTGCTTGCAAGCTCGCGTCCCTCTCTACTTTATATATTTTAAGCTCCCGTAGAACCCTCTATTATTTTTCTTATACTTTGACACCCTTGCACAGATGTGCGGGAATAAACTATTGACGCGCCTAGTGACTCGGAGTAGATTGGATTCTGAGGTAGAATTAGATTGTATTGGTTTGTATTTGATTCGAGAAGCTAACACTAATTTAATCATCCGTTTAGTGTGGTAACATAATTAAGTTCTGGTGGGATTCAACCCAAGTTTAGTTTTCAGGCCACCTTTATTTATACCAAAGAAAATATTTGAATAAATGTTTCCCAAACCACTGAATCCTTTTCAATCAATTTACAACCTGTGCTGCGCTCTACTGTGTTTGGTAAACATGATTAAATAGTTGGATAGGATTCATAATTGCAATCAAATGTTTGGATTGATAATTGTTACTGTTTTTTTTTTTTTTCACCCAAGGACATGTGCAATCTCAATTGTGACCTTTTAACCTCAAACACGTGTAAAGAGTTTAGTGTAATGTGTATTTAAGTTGAGAGTTTGCATGTCAAATCCTTGGAATTAATAGGGACGTAACAATCCCCCTCCCACCTGTTCCTTTTGTTAGTTTCTGCATGTTGGCTTCTTTTGGCATGGGGTAGATTATAATCCCATTTCAATATACGACCCCATGGCAAAACAAACAATCAGTAGGTTTCTGGGATCCACCAAAGTCCAATTCAGTACATTAAACAAAAGATTAATGTTTAGCCTGAAACGTTGAAAGTCAATTGGAAAAGGACAAGCACAAGCCCTGGAGGCTAGGTCACCTCATCAGCTTGCATATATAAAATAATACTGGTTCAATTAGGATAATGGGCATGGTGGGATGCCCTAAGCTTTAGGGTACTTTGTGATTTGTAGTGTAGCATGAGGTTAATTAAGTTAATGTAGTGGGAGGACACCTATACCCTAATTAGGTTAAGCCATGAATGCGATGATGCGCAGATGCCTTCATCCACTGTTGCCACTTGAACACTTATTATTCCTGATTTCTAAAAAAGCAGCTTTTCCTTTGTCTTTGAGCTAGCTTTCACTTCTCTCTCTCTATCTGTAGCTGTTGAATAATATTCCTCACCAAAGAACATAGTTACAAATAGTGCAAATAACAAATAAAACAAAACCACTTCTAGAAAAAACGATTCCATGCTGTAGCTGTTGATTTTAACATCAAAAAACAAGTGGGCGCTAAACCACGGAAACAACCGGAAAAAAAAAAACCCTCAAGATGGAGCAGAATTTAGCTATGTAAGTTTCATGCCGACTTCAAAAGAGTTCTCGGAGTTCAAGCTACCACAGCCACTTCAGGCCTATACATGACTCCGCCCATGTATCCATACATAATGGAGTTGAAAATGGAAAATGAAACAAATTCCTAAAATAATAAACTGGAGACAATTTAAAGGGCGTGGGAAGCACAACATGAACATGTGTTCGTGCCTGCAAGCATTAACTTTAGGTGCTGGAAGAGTCCTATTATAATTAGGGGGACCATCCTGTCTTCTTCTTCTTCATTCTTTTTTGGTGGCCTGGAAATGTAAAAACAACAAACGTCAACAACAGCACCACATTTTTTACTACATATATTTTAATTCAATTCAAGAACGGTCCAAGTCGTTTAGACACTCAGACTAGTCCAACGCAGAATAATATATGATAATAATTCAATGCCGAAAAAAAAAGAAAAGAGGGTGAGTTTTGGAGGTGTCTTATTTCTCATCGGTTGGATTGGATTGGATTAGAAAGGATTCTCATCCACACGTCAAGATCAAATATCTAGATTGTCCACACAAACTACCTGTTGCTGGAGGATATAATGATTGCAATATCCTGGATTGAAGTCGCAGTTTTTTTTTTTTTTTTTTCTATGTGAAAAAAAAAACATTTTCTTCTCGGAAAATTACATGGTCGATTTGATTATATAAGATTTCAATTGGAAAATTTTATATTGACACGAAAAGTGTGCCTCTGTTGGGTTATGACTCGACCACCACTAAACTAATTTTGCAATTTGATTTAAATTATTGTGATTGCGTTTATAAAAAACAAAAAAAAATCTATATTTGGACATCAAAATAATATCTGAGATACGTTGAATTTTAAAGTATTTGTGTATGGGTGGGTGGTGATCTTTACAACAAACAAATAGAAAATAGAATAAATAATATTAAAAAGAGAAACAAATCCTTCTATGACAAGATTTAATATAACGTTTTCTTTTATGGTTTCAAAAAGGTATTTGGTAAGCATTTGCAATTTACATAAAATATATAACATACCACACAAGTACTCATCCACTAGCCCAATGCGTACGCGCGTGTCAATTGGCTTTTAAAATTTTTTAGAATTAAAAATAATAATGAGTAGCTGTGTTTCATAAAAATAAGACTTATTACCTAATTTTAATATAAGAAAGTGTGAAATTACAATATTATCATTATTTAATTAATAATTTTAATTCTTAATTTTTGTATTAACTAATGATATTTTCAGGTATTTTAGACATTTCACAATTCTCTACCTTTTGCTATATATATAGTTGAATTTTTAGATTTATTTGCGAAAATTAAATAGAATAAGAAAAAAAAACAAAACAAAAAAGGAAAATACATCCAGACTAAAATTGGATTGGCAAAGATAAAGGTTGCAGTCCCATCAGAAGTTGGTGCGGTGCATCACATCAGATCGTTTGCTCTTTTTCTCATAATAGAAATGTAATGGTAGGATGACGTGGTACGGCATAGTACGGGCCGTACCTCCTTTTGAGAAGGAGACAATTGTCATGTGGGGCCATTTATCGTGCCGTGCTGTTCAGATTTTAGGCTTTTTAGCCAAACGGCCACGTGCCACGTTGTCATCGGCCCCATCTGTGTCAGCTACCATTAGAACCATCCGGGCCCATTGCTTCACATGCATGTGTGGTCCCAAAGGCCCCACTAACTCTATCAATAATTGTTTAAATTTTTGTTTTGTTTTATTTGAAAATGATCAAAGAAATTATTTTCCATTATATTAGTGCTTCACATGCATGTAAATTTCCTTATTTTCGGTGATATAAAAAAAAATATAAATAATTATTTAATGAGTACATTAAAGAAAAAGAGAGTATTATTTGGGATGATTAGGCACTCACTACTTCTACTTGGATTCCAAAATGCATTAGTTCATCATAATTTTTTTCTTCTTCTCAAATTTCAATATTTAATTTATAATCCAATTTGAATAATTTGTTTTGATATTTGTATGTAATCGGTTTGGATCCGGAGTCTCTGCTAGAGGAATCATTTAACCAAAAGAAAAAAAAAAACATTAGACGAGAATAATCCTAATTATTTTGACTTTAATCCATCTTTAACTTTTCTTTTGACTTGTCCGAATGCAAACGGAAAGGAATCGTACATAAAGATGACAACAAATTCAAAACATAATTAATTAATGTTAATAATCATAAGCTTTTAAAAACTTTTGTTTCACTATTGTG